TGAGAGAGGCCCAACTCTCCCTCCCCCTACAAGGTGAGTACCTTCCGAATTTCTTAGAACACGCGTAAACCCCCTTCCTCGCCGCCCACGAGTTTTCTCTTCATTTCGCAACCCGAGTTTTTAATACCCCCCGCTCGAAGTTCGCGCCGTTACCCCTTTTGATCGCGCGTGTCCCCGGGGAGTACCGCGTAGGTGCGCTAGACCCGAAAATAGCGATCAGTCCCCGTGCGACCGTCCGAGCACCGCATTCCCCCTCAGCGGCCGCGACACGCCGGGACGTGACAAAGGACAGTCCATGACGGAGATGAAGAATTGAAATATAGCGACATACCGACAATTGTTACAAATACTAAAGGTCTATTATTTGCGAAAAAATCAACTATATGCTTGCAACGCGAATTTAATATTTTACGGCAAAATCTCGGAAAAGAGGCGCGAATCTTTGAAAACAGGATCGATAAATTAGCGACAGAATTATACGAGTCAACTCTTGACAGTACCGCGTATACCTCAGCAGAAATAAGATCTATCCACGAATACATTAAGGCATAAGCACTAATTAATTTTCAACTCGGACTGAATGGAAGGCTATAAACTATTGTGCGACCCCGGGCTCCCACTACCCTAGCTGAAGCTATTGCTAGAGCAATGAAGGGAGGAAAGGTAAAAGGATTAAATAACTACCATAATAATCGCAACCGAGACACGATATAATAGTCGACCGACGGCACGCGCGTTCGAGGAAACGTTAGAATGGCACTTGGATGGGATGTCTTACTCTACGTGTGGAAAAATAGGACATCAAGGGAAAGATTGTCGTACCAGCCGTTACGCAAACCGATTAACTCTATCGAAAATAAGCGAGCATCCCCGCGTAAACACAACGGGGAAATATTGCACTGCCGGAAGGTACAGCATACTCGCAAAGAATGCAGGAAGCTGCATAGGAAATCAGCTGAACACCCGGCACCTACTCTTAAACCGCGTCAAAAGCACCGAAACACAAACATCTCCTTGATAGGCGTGGAATACGCCGTAGAGACGTTTCTGACTACGATGAAAGCAGAAACAAGAAACAAAGAGACAATAGAACGCAAAGCATTTTAGAATTCAAGATCAACTAAGTGAAAAAAACTAATCTAATACACACACGAGATTGGACTTAGTGATACTTTTTATATGCAAAGGCAGGCAAAGAAAAGTACCGCTTTTACTTGATATTAGATTATCAATTAATTTTGTAAAAGTGCGGACTCAAAAGGGAGAAATTCTCGTAATTATGGATAAGGTAACATTCACCACAGTAACCGGACATCAAACAAGCACATTAGGTAGATTCACTGCAATCATGAAGGTAGGGAAACCAGTCTTATAAAATCTACGTAGTAAAAAATGATTTTCCCACTGAAATAGAGGGAATATTAGGAGTCGATTTCTTGTAAATGCATAATGCGACTTGCAAATATTAGGTGCTTGAATGAATTCTCGCTTGACTAATAGAGGTCAGTATTTGTGCTATTACAACATGGCCGACAGTGGTTGTAGATATATGTGAAAGTACTGTCAATAGGCTTTAATAATCAGTGTGTGACATTAGATCGTAATTGAAATTATTTATTGTATTGAAGAATCAAATCTCGTGGCAAAAAAAGAATATTTGCGGGAAGCAAAACTTTTCTGCTTTCATCTCAAGAAATCTGCTGCTGAACGTCATCGTTTGCTAGTGAAGGTTTATGGGGAGCATGTTCCATCTGAAACAATTTGCAAAAATTGTTTTAGAAGATTCAAAGATAACGATTTTAACGTGAATGACATAGAGCACACGGATTAGCCAAAAAAGTTTGTTGTAAGCTTAACAATAATATATGTCGATGACCATAAACGAAGGCCACGGCTCGAATTACCAAACGTCGCTTTGCGGAAATGCAACCCTGCATTCTGGCAAAGGAAGTATCGAAATCAGGAAGGTCAGCGTCCACACTCAAGTGACGCTGACATATCCAAACCGTCCCCTCTAATTAAGACATAGGAAGAGGATAGAAGGGGACGTGATACCGGAGCGACGGGCGACTCTAGACACTCAACTCTCGGGAACCGACACGCTGTCGGTCACACCAGAAATATTGTTTCGGGCGGACAACGTAATAAAGATAAGTTCATTTCTTCAACAAGAGATAATTTATTTGACATTGAGCATCACCAACGCCTCTCGCTCTATCGCGCTGTGAAGGGTACCCAACATTATCTGCGACGACTCGACTCGCGCAACAAAACTGGTGGCAGCGGTAGGATTCGTCCTCCAACAACAGCTTGCAACACAACAAGGAGAAGGCTTCTGTGAAAAAGCAATCGCAAGTAGCAGACTGGTGAGCAACAAATCTTGGGACAATCAAAAAGGGGAAAGGAAAACTACGTGACAGTCCAAAAGAAACGAACATCGGAGCTACGACCACTAACACGGGCCAACCACAATAGCAGAGGAGGCGACGAACAGCAAAGACAGCAGAAACATTTCACCTCAACACAGCGACAAGCGCCAGGCAACTCAACACCGGACAATAGGAGCATCGATAACGAACGTGCAAGAACCTGATAGCGCGACCCGTCGACATGCGTCCCGTCTTATTAATGTAAGTCCTAATCTAACACACACAAGCGTATACACATACTTATACAAGCGAGAAGCCAAAGTCTTTAGTGGATCCATCAAAAATTCTTATTCCTCCCCTTCACATAAAGCTTGGTCTAATGAAGCAGTTCGTTAAAGCTTTAGATAAAACAGCGATGAACAAGATGAACACTTTCATCAAGACATAAAAGTAATGGAAAGTCGCTATCAGGGAAGATGAGACGAACATATGATGGCAGATTTCTGCTGGAATCTGAAGAAAGACGTACCAAAGAGAAATAGAAAACGTAAGACATTGCATCGATCTTTTGAGNATTTTTTGCACTCACATCTTGATGAATTTCCAGACAACCTAGGAGATTTTAGCGAAGAACAAGGTGAACGCTTTTATCAAGACAAAAGTAATGGAAAGTCGCTATCAGGGAAGATGGGACGAACATATGATGGCAGATTTCCGCTGGAATCTGAAGAAAGACGTACCAGAGAGAAATAGAAAACGTAAGACATTGCATCGATCTTTTGAGGAGAAAAGAACTCGATATAGTTCGAAAAAAGAGAAAGACTAAAATGAGAAGAGAAACTAAAACTACAAATCTGTTATTTGCTTTTTTTTTATATATTTATTTATTTATTTATTTATTTATTTATTTATTCGTTCAACTGTAAACAGCCCTTTTAA